AACCAAGTCTGTGTGTGAGATGCCCCCAGTGAGACCTGTGAATGCCTTTGTGTATTCCCCCCCTTCCCCCCTCCTTCTGTGTCATTAAGGGAGCTGTGGTTTTTCTGCTCATTTTCACCATTTTTCCCCACTCTTCTGAAAAATTTGGGGAAAATGGGTAACATACTCATGAACCTTTACCTTTCACTGTTTTGATCTTTTTGATCTGCATATAAAAGCATGCAGTTGTATTTCCTTTTCTGCTCTGAATACAATTTTGATTTTTCTCTTGGAATTTTTTAAAGGTTTAAAATGCTTAATTGAACCTATGAAATGATTTTGAGGTATTTTGCTTACATTTGTATATGTTTTAACATACCTCATTAAGTGTATTTTTGAAGCTGTTCTTCCTACCTCTTTGATGTTGGAGTCAAAGTGCTCCATCCTATGTCACTGTTTGTTTGTTACTGATATCTGCCTTTGGAGAATTTGCTTCCATCGGAATAAAATCTGATATTTTGGAGTGTTGACTCAAAAGTGCCTTTTTAAAAATTGTGTTTTATTTTTTGAAGCTGTTCCTCCTTCCCTCTTTTACGCCTGAGTGCATTTTTAAAAACTTATCAGTCAAGGTGCCCCACCCTATAATTTATCTGTCTGTTTGTCTGCAACACAAGTTATTGTCCTTTTTAGAATTATCAGAAATGAGTTAGAAATTACAATATGTTCTGGGATGGCAGTCACTGCATCCTCCGTGCCTGCCACCCCTCATCATAAGCCTACAAATATCATGGTCCATCACACTATCCCTGCTAAATATGCACTCCTCATTCGTCATGATAGAAAGAATTCTATTGTTTGGAAAAAGAAAATGATGTGTTGTGCTGCTGTAAAGGTGTTTTCCTTTTCAGCATTTGGTTGTTGGGCTTTTGTGGCACATGTTCCTCTGTGAAAGCATGTGCCTGCAATCCGTTGTATCCTTCCTGCATTGGGATCTGCATGGGTCCTTTTCCTTCTTCTATAAATGCTATCCCCATTCCCTCCTGGAATTGGCATATAACACAAACTACCAGAGCAATCTTCATACCTTTTGTGCTGTTAATAGGCCAATCAGGAATAACAAAAGATAACCACTGGCAGAAAGGAATGTCTGATGTAAATCTAAATTAGGGTATATGACTGTGTTTTNTTTTTTGCTGCCACCAACAGCAGGCTCCACCCAGGAACTAGAGCAAATTGCTTTGAAAGGAGTGTGACTATTGGAATAATTGCCAGGCCCCATACCAAAGAAAAGGTCCAAGAAATCCCAGAGTGAAGAGAGGGTTTTTGCCGGATTCTTGATACAAGGGAGAGATTCTGATAACACCCTGTACCAAAGAAAAGGTCCGAGAAAACCCTTGGCTAGGGTGGGTCTGCTCAGGCACCTTACTGAAGAAGCCCAGTCCGAGAAATCCCTTAGGAATCATCGGCAACAAAGCTAGTAGTCTGTCTAGAACCAATGATCTAGCAAAAAGAATAGGACCTTGTTCTTCACTGGGCTGCATGCTAACCCACAAGAATACATTAAAAAGTTGTTGCAGCAGTAGTAGTTGTCTTTACAAAGAGAAGTAGAGCTCAAGAGCCCTGCCCAGATGCAAACAATGTGTTAATAAAAGTCTCCATACATCTTGATCTTTAAAAAAATATGCCAGCAATTGCTGAAAGATCTAAGATAAGAGTTTGGATGGTTAACAAATCAGCCAGCGCCTGCTGGTAGGTCCAAACTATGAAGAAAAGATACCCCAGGGCAGAGACAAGTATTAACAATCTAGCTCTTAAGAATATAGGAAAATGGGTGCAACATTGAGCAAAAGGAAGAAAATTTAGCAGGTTTGAATGGGAAGACCTAGATAATTGGGCTTGATTAATTTGATGTGAAGAATCAGATAATTTGACCTGATTTATTTGATGTGACTTTTGTTAAAATTCTTAGGTGTGCATCTATACTAATAGCAGGTAGAATTGTGTACATCTATACTAATAGTATGTAGAATTGAATGGGATTGAATTGATTGTGATATGTTTGACCAGATGGCAAAATAAGTAAGCTTCTCAGCTTGGGCTTGAAGCTGTGGGGAACGAGAGAGTAGGGCCCACAACAGGGGTGGGTTTCAACCGGTTCGCAACGGTCCCCGCGAACCGGTTGGTTGGTGAACCCGGAAGTAAGTAACTTTCGTGAACAGTGAAGGGCCCACCCGCCCGCCTGCGCTCCTTACCGGTCTTTGAAGTCTTCTGCGCTTCCACGCAGGCGCATGGCACATACAGCGCCTGTGCGATTCTCCGCGAGCAGCTGGATGGCACATACAGCGCCTGCGTGATTCTCTGCGAGCAGCTGGAGCATTGCGCAGGCGCTAAGACGCATGCATGAACTGCGCGCATGCACGTGGACGCCGCCGGCCCCATTCCAACCGAATCGGTTGGAACAGGATTAGCAACCCACCACTGGCCCACAATCACATTTATGATTTGAACTGCTCTCTGGGTTTCCCCACTGCTTCGAGAATGAGCCACAGGTTCCCCAAGGAAATAAAAAAATTGAAGATTTGAAGGGACAGAACCTCCCCCAAGTCTGAAAGTGTTGTTCTGTGGTATGTGTGCATGTGTGTGATCATTTCCAGACCTGGAGGGAGGTTGAGGTTCTTTAATAATAGAAAATGGAGCTCATTGGCTTATGAACAGCACCCTGAAATAATTGTAATGATTGCTTTGCATGCAGAAAGAATGAAATGGGATTTTTGTATGTGAAATTGGTTAACACAAGCAGTCTGATTGCAGTGCAAATGTGAGTATGTTGTGGTGAAAGTTGGTGTGAATGTACTTTGATTCCCTTTTGAATAAAGAAACAGCAAGTTGCAAGGTTGTTTACTGGTATGTGTGCATGTGTATTATCATTTCCAAACCTCAAGGGTGGGTGAGATTCTCTAATACAAAATTGGCTTGTAAAAAAGCTCCCGGGAATACTTCTAATGATTGGTTGGCACAAACAAGCATGAAAGTCCGCTTGCAGTACGAATGTGAGTATATGTGTCTGATGCCTCAGGGAGTGATAAGTGGAAGGGATCTGGAGATCTGTGATTGCTTGTGTGTATTCCCCCCTTCCCCCTATCAATACAATACAATAACAGAGTTGGAAGGGACCTTGGAGGTCTTCCAGACCAACCCCCTGCCTAGGCAG